TACTATTTTAAATTTTTCTTTCTTTAGGTTTGGAAGACAGTTTGGCTGATGAAGGTGAGGCATACACTTTAGGTTTTATCTGTGTTCACTCACAGTAAATCAGCAGTTTTTTCTGACATCCTTCAAAAGGAGAGCGACCTAAACGTATTTATTTCCCATGGCAACAGAGTGAAACCTCCAAATTTACCCGCCAGCAGCCCCGTACCAGCCAGGGCCGTCACTGTGAGAGAACTAGAGCTCCATCCAAAGGTAAGTGCTCTGCTTAGACATGAACGGAGTGGGAATTTGAAGGTGTCCCAAACACCTTAGGGTTTTAAATAAAGATATAAATTTCTCTTAGTGAAACAATAATCTGGGAAGTATCTTAAGAGCAAGAGCTGAAATCATTTGTCATACTGAGCTCTCTGACATTTTCTCAGACGCAATCAACTCAGCTGGGTTCATTCTAATCAGCATAAAAAGAGCGACATGACCCAAACACTCTCAAATCTTTCCGTCAAGGGGTGCAAAATAAGATGACACAGTACCATTTCAACACTTCAACAAACTTTTCTGTTTAAAGACTGACAGCCAGCCCGGCTGGCGTGGCTCAGTGGTTGAGTGTTGACCTATGAACCAGGAGATCACAGTTTGATTCTCGGTCAGGGCACATGCCTGGGTTGCAGGCTTGATCCCCCATAGGGGGCATGCAGGAGGCAGCCAATCAATGATTCACTCTCATCACTGATGTTTCTATCTCTCTCTCTCCCTCTCTGTAATCAATAAAAATATGTTTTAAAAATAAAATGGTTATTAAAAAAGTTATCTAGTGTATTATGTAGAAGACTTACTTAACCTTTTAAACTAGAATAATTATCATTGAATTTTAGGCAGGATTAACGGTTAAATTAGTTATCAATTACTAGATTTAAGTACACTTCATATTGGCCAATACCACATGTAGTCTATGAGTGTCATTATTTTGAATTAAGAATTGATGTTAAACATTCCAAATTATGTTTAAAGTATTTTATATAACTTAAAATATATTTATTTAAATGTTTCTTCAAATTTAAAATAAGGTTAATATTTAAAATGTAAAAAAAAATCTGTTTTGATTTTACAGAACAGCAGAGGGAAGGTAGGGATGGGGGATTGAAGAGGTAAGAGATCAACCAAAGAAACTGTATGCAGCCAAAACCGGTTTGGCTCAGTGGTAGAGCATTGGTCTGAGGATTGAAAGGTCCCAGGTTCGATTCCGTCAAGGGCATGTACATTGGTTGCGGGCACATCCCAGTAGCGGGTGTGCAAAAGGCAGCTGGTCGATGTTTCTCTCTCATCGACGTTTCTAGCTCTCTATCTCTCTCCCTTCCTCTCTAAAAAAAAAAAAAAAAAAAAATCAGTAAAATATATATATAAGAAGAACCTGTATGCATATACTAGTATGCTTAACCCATGGACATTGACAATAGGGTCAGAGAGGCTAGGAGTGGGGGTCAGAGGCAGGCTATTAGGGGCCAATGGGAGAAAAAAAAAAAGGGATATATGCAATACTTGCAACAATAATTTTTTTTAAAAGGAAAAGAAAAACAACAATATCAAGGCATTTGATACCCTGTTTCCCCGAAAATAAGACAGTGTCTTATATTAATTTTTTCTCCCAAAGTTGCGCTAGGTCTTATTTTCAGAGGATGTCTTATCTTTCCATGTGCTAGGTCTTATTTTCGGAGGATGTCTTATTTTTGGGGAAACACGGTAGAATCATTCTCTTCTAAATCATCACATTATCTTTAAAGTAATGAGTTAAAGATTTAAAAAAATCTGAAATTAGTTCATAAATGCATTCTTACTTTTCAAGACTCAAAAATCTTTATTTTGGATGGTTTTAGAAATTTTAAAGGCACAGCATAAAAACAGAAGCTGCCTTCTTAAAGGAATATGGGTTAATAGTCAGACAAACATGGATTTGAATATGAGATCTGCCTATTACCAGCTGTAGGGCCTCTGGGACAAAGTAAACCTCTGAGCCTGCATTTCTTTATCTGTAGGATAACAGCAGGATCATAGGATGAATTAAATAACAACTGTGTGAGTTTTCATAGAATCTGACAAAAAGTAAGCTCACTCTTGTTTTTTCTTTCTTCCGCACTTCTAGTAATTTTCTGCTATAATTTAAAAGACATTAACAAAATCATAAGTAAGAAGATTCAGAGAAACAGGAGTGTGTTTAAGACATTTAGAAAAGAAAAATAAAGAAAATAGATAACTACATCCTCAAGATTTTTTTTTACTTCCTCTGATCATTAAATGCAATTTTCTAAATTAAGAACCATGATGTCTGAACCAGCAACAAAGTTTGAAGGCAGCAATAGTATATTACACTTGCTACCAGAGAGCATTGAAGTGAAAATGTACTAAAGATAAGACTCTCTATTTCCAGAAATTCACAAATCATTTTTTGTTAAGAGAGCTGCAAATAAGAGCAATATACACAGTTGCTGCTTGAACAATGTGGGGGTTCGGGACACTGACTCCTGTGCACTGCAAAATCCATGTGTAACTTTTCACTTCCCCTGAACTTAATTACTAATAGCCTGCTGTTGACAGGAAAGCTTACTGATGATATAAACAATTAACACATGTTTTGCATGGTATATGAATTATTAAATTGCATTCTTACAATAAAATAAGCTAGAAAAAAGTGTTACTAAGAAAATCATACATTTGCAGTATTTACTTAAAAAATCCACAAATAAATGAACTTGAGTAGTTTAAAGGTCAACTCTAATAACAGGAGGAAGACAGTGAAGTGTTTTAATTAGCTGAAATGTAATCCACAACGAACCTTATAGAACCATCCTCTTAACAGGCACACATATCAAAGATGCTAGCCAGAGCAACATGGTACTGACACTACTAACTCATGTTGCTTTTGTTTGGTTCTGAGCGTTGCAGAAGGCAGGCTGCTCAGATATGGTATGAGTTAAACCGTAATGTGCACTTACCAATTCTGAGAGAAATTACACTGAGAAACACACGCACATCTCCTTAACATCTTCACCCCCTTTCTCCACCATCCACTCTCCCACTTCCCATTTCTCTCTTACTGAAAGTATTATATCCCTTATCCTTTTAGGCCACTTGTTTCTGGTTAAATAGAAATTTATCTGAACAGGACCCTATTTTAGATATTCTGACTCAATTACACGTTAACTTGAAAGAAGTTGATTGAACTATTCACATAAACAAATGAGGATCACAAATATTTGGAATTAGGAAAAAAAAAAAAAGTAGAGAAATGAGAGGTCTGGATAACAAAGCCAGAGCTTGCCTATTTAAAAATATATATATATATCATTGTTTTGCCTCAGTTAAGAGAGAATTATGATAATTTGCTCCAATGATGTGCCTGCACCTCTCTTTTTCCAATAATCATGTTTGTCAAATTGTTAAGGGTAACGACCCCATTTTACTATCAGGGGTAAAAAAAACGGTAACAGATAAAAAACAAAACAGATGTCCTATACATTGCTGGACACGGGTTTGGTCAGGATTACCGACTTCATGGCTTCTGACTCTTCTCCTGAAATAAGGAAAGGCGGAGCCTGTCTGCCTGCGGCCCCTCCATGGCCATGCCTTCCAATTCACCTGAATTCACTGATGCCGAGCTGATAAACAGGAATCAAGTGAATGGATGAAATGGTTGAAATGATCAGTCCTAGCACAGATAAGCTGCTTCATTGTATAAATCTATGTAAGTTAAGGTGGCCTCAGGCTCTAGCCACCAAGCAAGGTTCTTTTTTAATTAAAGATGGATGTGTGAATGTTTGGGGAAGGGCAAACAGGGGATGCAACTTTGACTGACAACATTTGCATTTCAAATCAAAGGAAACATTTCTTAAACTGAAACGTTATTAAAAGTTCATTTTAACAACTAGTAAAATGCTTAATATTAGACATTCAAGTAACATTTACTAGCATATTAACTTTTATGCTATGTAAATATAATAGGTAGTAAAAGACCAAATTAAGAGTTCAAACTATGATGATTATTGCACGAGGCAAGACTAGGAACCTGTATGAGAAAGGAGAGTTTCAACCGGAGGAAATTACCTTGTGGGCTACTAATGTAAATAATAATACATAGTACATAGAGATATGCTACTCATTCAGTGCGCGCACACACACACACTCACACACACACACATGTTTATATTCTAAAAATTAAATAGTAAATTATAGTAAAATGCTATACTAATTTTTTTAAATATCAAGGCTTAATATGTACTTAGTAATTAATATTTAGGGGGAAGGAATTAATATATGGTAAAATAATTTTGAGTAAACTGTTAGTTAATGTATGTCAGCAATAACAGTGCCTATTTAAATCCTCATCTTTCTTCAAGATTATGTTGTTAAAATTATTCTAGATAAAAAATATAAGTGGACTAGCCATAGGTTCAATTATAAATACAGAATTGACAGAAACAGAAAAGATTTGTTTTCAATAAGCAAGGGCTGAAATCTAACCCTAGGGACTGCACAAAAGGAAGGAGAAAAGATAATTTTAAAAATTATACGTGGTTCTGATTTTTCAAAGTGGTAACATATTACTTTCCAAATTTGAAATTTCAAAAAAGCTATGCCATACTTTCCTACCAAAACAAAATGACAATACTTGCTATTTTTATTTATTTTGACTGTAATATATAAATAATAATGATGATGATCATAATTGGATAATGACATTCAGAATGAATAACTTTTTCGGAATTAAGAATAAGGGGCAGGTGGTATCAGAAAAGATTCAAAGAAGTCTTATTTCTAATCAAAGCACATCCCCCCCCCCCCCCCCCCAACTATGTTCTTCTTCCGAAGAACATCAGGCTGAATGGAAAGAAGCCGACACGTGCCAGGTCAGGGCTAGAATGACATGTCCAGGGAACAGGAGATGCCGCTATTTCCATTATCCATTGAACACCTTGGCAATTCTTATTTCATCCTGAGAATGTGATACTTACTCTTGAACTGCTCTGGCTATGGAAAGGGCCGTGGATCCAGTTTCATTAACGCTATCTAAGGTCACATTTGGCAGGTCATCATCATCACTGTCACTTTTACTTTGTCTGGGAGATAGGCCTCGGGGGTCCATTTGTGCTGGGGAGAAAAGGCATATATATGAATTAAAATTAGCATGCAAAAAGTTAACCTGGTTCTGGATCAATACCAAGCATGGAAGGTCTCTTCTGTGTATATCACGCACATGGAATTCTCTAGAAATCCCAGGAATTAGTGAAAGCGACGTAGTTTATGTACTGAGCACTCACTGACTCTTTTCCCTTGTTCATTTGATTTACAAAACCTTCATTAGCTCTCAATAGTTTCAGAATATGACTACAGAATATAAACTATAAAATCCACGATATTATCTACTCCTGAGAGGTCAGATACTAATTAGGTAGCCCAAGAGTCAGTGCTGGACCTTCTGGCTTCTCCTTGTTTCTGTTGCCAGAATCCTGACCACCTGACTGTTCGTGCTTACAGCTCTCATAATCAGCTGACAGAAGAACAAGGTTTGCAAGACTCAAAATTTTAAGTACTTTTCATACTTCAGTGAATGACTATCTTCAGTTTATTACTACAATTTGAGTAGAAAAAAATGACAGACGCAGTAGTAGTGTTTTTAATTATGTGGTTATATGTGCTAAAAAGTATTCTTTGTATCCATCCTGATTTCATTTTTCAAAAGGGCATTTCCAGATACACCCCCCCTCCCTGCCCCGCTTCTGCCACACTGTGAATTTACCAAAGCAAGAAACACTCCACGACTTGAGCCCTGTTGACCAGGACTTTCAGATCCTTTCAAATGAGAGGATTATAGTCAACATTTCATACCTTAACTCGTATTTTTAAAAAAATTAGTTTGCATTTCCACCTCCTCCTCTCTATGAACAGCTTTAATAACCATAGTATAGGATTTCCATCAGCCCTCACTTCAAGCACAAAACACCTTCTAAATTAAAAGCACTGCACTAGCTGCCAATGGCATTGTTAGAATATGTGGTTTCAAAGTCAGCCAGTTCCAAGCAGATTGCCACTCCTCAAAATGCCCAACAACATTTCTAAAACCACTGCTGCTTACAAAAAGCAAATCCACTTAAAGTCATGGTTACAATGACATCCGAGTATATTTACAATTTCATTTTTTCTCAAAAATTTTTTTCGTACTGGGTATTATGCATTAGGTAGATTATCAGGAAATGCTAGTATTTCATCATATTTTATCCACAGACAGACAATTTTTTTTTTATGATTCTACCTAACATTTACAATATGAATAGAAAAACTATACCTAGAGAGTTTCAACATGTTTGTAACTAAATGTGGTTAGGAAGGACCTTATATCTGTTGAACCAACTGCCACACATTATTCCTGTAAATATACACATTTTAAAATGTAGTATGAACAATGAAAGTGCTTGGTAATTGTTGGTTAAATTAAAGAAAAAAATAACTCAAATAACCTAAACCAGTGGTTCTCGAGCAAGGGCAAATTTCTCCCCAAGAGACATTTGGCAATGTCTGGAGATATTCTAATTTGTCACAACTTGGGAAGAGTGAGCTGTTATTGGCATCTTCAATGATACTCCTAGCCATCCCACAATGCCCATGACAGTCCGTCCCCCATGACAGAGAATTAACTAGTCTAAAATGTCAAGGGTGCCAGGTTGAAAAACTCTGAGCTTGACATTTAAGGGTTTGGATATAGAAATTAGAAAATATATTAAGTCATAAATTGGATTATCCATATTTTCTGGCCCTCAAATAAAACAATACACTGTTATGTGACAGCCCTCACCAATTCTCCATATACAAACAGCATTCGCTTCCACAAATGCAGTAACACTCATTAAGGGTTTTGTCCCACACATGGTGGGACAAAAAAGACTTTCTGTCTGATCTCTAGAGAAGATTTCCTAGATGAGGGATGCTGGATAAACTCTTTCTAGAAAGGACAAGTTCTGCAACCATTTGATAACAGAGAACTCCTTAAGCATTCAGTCACTCCAAAGGCACTGAGTCACTGTATCATTAAAGATCTGTCGTGGCAGCAGGCAACAGAAACGGGCTTGGGATAACTTCTATTAAACAGAATGTACTGGGAAGATACTGAGTAGCTCAAAGGAAGTAAGGTGACGATGAACAACCAGCACTCACGCAGCATAGGTCAGAGGGATCATACAGGCATTTCAACCGGGAATTCATAGACAGTTTCTTGTGGACAATCTGTTATAGAATGATTCTGTTACCAATCATTCATAACTACTCAAATCCAGCCAAAAAAGAGTAACAGATCTATCTAGGCTTCCGAATCACATATTATGTGGTGTTATATATGCCTGCAAATGTCAACAGTTTAACATTTAAAGTTGTTGAAACATGATGCACTGAGATTCCTTTGCCAAGATGCCAACTTAACAGCCAGCTAGAGATAAGGGAATACTCTGGTGGTCCTATTTTGTCCAAGGAAACTAGAGTTATCATAGGTAAGAAATACAACTCAAGGAAGATACGGGCAATTAACCAATAAGCAACTTGACTCTGAAATTTAAAATCTAACCATATAAAAGACACTAAATAGATGGTGTGAGAGTTGATCATCTAAATTATGTTATGTTTATATTTCAATGAAAGTTTAAAATATGCTAAATATGATATCTTTTTTAATGTACTCTTCAGGAACATGATAATTGAGGATTTCTTTCCAATATTTTCAATCAATATTATGAAATACATCTGCTACCATCATGCTGAGAAACTCTTTTTTACCCATACCTTCAGCCAAGTTGAGGAAGCAATTAGAAAGGCTTTTTAAAATCTGCATTGCTGATTAGGTCAGATGATTAGCTTATCTGCATACTTGCATAATCCCATTCTCCTTTTATGAAATGTGGGATAAGGACATCTGCCTTCCTTAACCTCCATTAGTCTCTGAGTTTCTCAGTTCATTTAGCAAGCACCCATTCACTGGGGTGCCCATTCACAGAAAATGGAAAAGTACCCTGAACACCAGAACCAAAAACATACCCACCTCCCTACATAAGAGAGCGATACTAGTAATGACCTACAGGCATCTGAAAGGAATGTATATGTGAGATTCTGTTCCTTTTCAAGGAGAAAGGGATCAGACCATTGCTGGTGGAGGTGCTGTGGAAGACTGTGTGAGCTTCACTCGCTGTGTCGAAATCCCTGGGAGGATAACTGCAGAACCCCAACAACTGACGTTGAACCCATCTACTCTGACTTTCAAATACACACTTAGCAGTAAATTGTTCCTGTAAAGGTCACCCCAATAAATCATGATAAATGACTTATGATGAACCTGCTGGCTTGGCACCTGGTCACCATCTGAAGAAGCCCAGGAGAACCCAAGAGACAAGCTGCTCAGCGGGCAGCCAACCCCAACTGATGGGAGCCATGCTAGATGGACCAACCACATTGCAGCCACCCATATGCATGACTAGCTTAAGCATTTCCTGGCAAAACCCATTCCAAATATTTGACTTACAAAACTGTGAGCAAATAAAATAGTTGCTATTTTAATCTACTAAAGTTTGGGATGCTTTTGTTACACAGCACTACAGCAATACAAAATCAATGTGCCATGTTACTCTCCCAACTCCTTCAGAGATTTTCCAGCAATGATGTGGACACGGGGCCGCTACAGAGAGTCAGCCTGTCACTCTCCTCTCTGGTCTCCTAAGAGGAAGCCTAGCCCTAAGTAGCATACATTTAAGTGAGCTATTAATATGAAAAAGAAAAAGAAAAGCCACATGTTCTATCTGACATATTTTCCTTCTCAAGTCAAATGTATTTACAGTTCCTTTGGTTCTGAAGCATCTCCCTTGATCCTTGGTGGTGCCTCAGGTGGGCTTCTCCCAGAAGGGGCCATCGGTTGGCATGACTGCTCAGGAGAACAAAGCTTTCCTACTCAATCTCACCTGGGTGGATCCTCCCAGGGTGGAGGTTACCCAAAGTCCAGTACATGTGCCTCTCATCCACGCATCTGAAACATGCTCACTTTCCTTTCCCCCAGGTCACAGTAGACTGGCACCGACACAGGGACCTCAGTGCATTCTCACTTCCCCCACCTCATCCTAGGCACTCTCCCAACTTCCTTAGACTTCCTTAGGCCTATTTGTCTATTCTTAAAGGAAAGGACATTTTTTCCCTAAGTCACCATATTAAATATGTACAAACAAACATCTATGAACGTGCATGGACAGTTACAAAGTAACCTTTTCTAACCAGAATGAATCACAGAAGGAATTATTCAAGCCTATCTACATCCACCATCAGGACCGGAGGGGAGAGACAGGGACACAGATGGACAGAAGGGGTGTGAGGCAGCCGGCGGCTGGAGTGCTGTCAGCCTTTCTCCCCCCCATTCAGTCACTGACAGGCTGCCTGCCACCCACAGATGCCCTCATTGTTCGCCCTGCCAAGGCTGAAGCATGCCCCAGTTAGGCAGGAGGGCTGCTGCTGCTGGAAAGAAGGGCAGTGGGAGAAGGATGGGAGGGAGGGGAAAAAATGTTTGGGGGGAAGAAGGTGCAGGGAGGAAGTCACAGCATCATGGCACCTGAGAGTAGAAGACTATCCTCTTAGGAGCAATTCCTGTACTCATCTGGTGCAGAACTTGATCCTAAAAGGATAGGCACAGTGTTTCTTTAGGATGAAAACAGAGTTCTGGCTTCAGAGAACCTGGTGTGACTTCTGGGCCTGTCACTTGCCGCCATCTGACCTTGGGCAACTGATTTCCCACAGCTCATGCCTCAGGTTCTCCTGCCCTTGCTGCTGCACTGAGCAAATGAGATAATGTATGCAAAGCATTTAGTACCCTTCTTGGCACTTAGCAGTCAATCATCATTCCATTTTATTCTGACAGTAAATCCACTGCTCCTTCAACCATCCCTTCTATCACAATATTTCCAAGTCCCTCACCTTTTCCTGGACTAATTCAAATTAGGCAGTGTTTTTTTTGTTTTTTAATACTTAAACTGAAAATAACACTACAGAATATATATTGGATAATATACAAAACCACTACTTCTGTTGACCCACAAATTCATTTATGGATTTGGTTAGCTGATATTTAT